GACACAATGGGGTGGAATAGTACACACCTCACAATTACACTTCTATCTCTTCTCTCTACTATTGTCGTACCTTCCCTCTCTCTATGACCTCCATAATTGTTCAGTAACTTATGCCTACAACGGAATGCTTAATTTCAACAAATGCAAAAGGAAAATTTCATTGTTTTTATTGATCCAAGTCCAAATTATAGGCCACCTTTCAAGTGAGTTTTTTTTGTTTAGTTATATTTTTTTTTTTGCCTATTGCGCCCTTTGAGGTAAAAAAGGGAAGATATTTGAATTCCTTTTAACGAGTGCATCAGTTACATAATTTTGAATTTTAAATAGAGAGATTATATTCATACATTCTAAATTACTTCTTTCATATCCTTTTAGTTTTTTAATATTTATTTATCAAATGCTAGTGGTGTATAGAAAATATTTAAAAAATTAAAAAATTAAAAAGGTGTGGGAGAAGTAATTTAGGGTATGTGAATATAATCTCTCTTTTAAATATTTTTATTTTTGACAAGAAATGATAGAGTGGCATTTCATTAAACTTCATAAACAATTACAAGGGTTGCCAATCGGATACATAAGCTCAAGTGATCAAGAAATTGATCTGGAGTAAATTTGTGCAAGTAAACAAACGACAATAAACCTCTAAACGGCTATCACAAGCACTGCCCTACCCTACAAGATGTCTCCAGTACGAATTTGTCACAAAAACATGATAGACGCAACAAATTAACATTGACAAACACATAGGTCATTGCACAAGTGCGAGGCTGCATAGAATCATCGCAAGTGAGTTCACAATAAATCATCGTTGAAAGACAAGACCACATACTAGTTGCATAAAGAGAAGACAAATCCAACAACCACAAAACACGCGACCACAATTTACAGGACGAGGCAACAAAACCAACTACATACTACTTCGAGAAAGAAAGGAACCACCGGTCAGTTCATAACTTCATCACAGTGACCAAGACCTAAACCAGGACTACACCATTAGTACTTTTTATACATCACAGAGGTTGAAAAATGATGAAAGCATGTACAATGTACCTATGTTGTATATAAAGCATACACAAAAAACTAAATATTTTCCTTTTATATAGGTAGAAAATAAATCAATTTGTAATAGGGGAAGGTAAATCAAGTTATAGGGCAAACACAAAAATAACCTATGAAAGTGGTAAGTTAAAAAAAAAATAATAATAAAAGATATGGTACATGTAGGTAAATACCTTTAATCTACAACACAGGTATAAAACCCGGCAAAAACTCGTAGATAAGATTGTAGACATGCAAATTTCGGTGAAAATAAATATTTACCAACGCATTAAATTTCGGCATCCAAGGGCTTACATGGCATGCAAGAGCATACGTGGCATGCGAGGGCGGATAAGTTATCGAGGACACATGTCAACACTTGGTGAAAAGTAATATTTGATTTTAATTTAAATCAAACAAATTAATTAATTTAAATTTAAATCAAATGAAAATGCCAAATTGGGAAGATTGATTTGTTTGATTTTAATTTAATTTTTATTTGATTAAATGAAATATTAATTGAATGAGTAAAATCACAAATGATTAACCAAGACACAAATCAGGTCTTGGTTCTTTCGTAGGCAAAACTTGGAGAATCTATAAATAGGAGGCTCCAAGACAAAGAAAAGGGTCCAAAAAATCATTCATGTACAGACGCTAAAGCTTTGAAACTCTAAAGCTCTCAAGCACTCAAACCCCCTAAACACTCAAGAAGACTCGAAAACCTGCCGCATTCTTCGTCAAACCCGTGAAGAACCACCAAGCACCCCTACACGTGCCAGTTCCTCCATTGCCAAGAGCCAAAACCTTGTGGCATCCGTTCATTCAAGATCAAGTCATCGTGACCCTTGGATCAACAACCCCTACATCACACATCTACAAATATTGGAGATCGAATCAGAGGATCAAGTTATAAAGAGATTGAAACCCTAAAAATTCGTTAATACAATTTTTTTTTGTACACATGTTCTCTTGTCATTTGTTCCAAAATTTTCGTGTTTAGGAATTAAGATAGAGATGAATTAGAAATTATAGGTAGATAAATAACATGCGTAACTAGGAGAAGGCTTCCATATAAGAAAAAAAAAATGTAGGAAACCTACATCACAGGTTGATGATCCATGATAAAAAAAACTGAAGAAAACACAAAACAAAGATCATGCGTAAGGTAAATAACCAAAAAGAAAACAAAAGGTGAAAATGGTGTATATAATTCTTCCACTAAGTAAAAAGACGACATGTGATGAATAAAATAAAAAGAAAACTATAAAAGGAAGGATGACCGGAAGAGGAAAGTGAGGAGGAGACATACGAATTCTCACGAGGGTAAACTAGACGACTATAAGGTGTACAGGAGACGTGCGATTTCTCACTCAAAGAGAGAAATTATAGGGGATGACTATAAGAAAGTGAAGAGTGAGTGAGACATACGATTTCTCACTTAAAGAGGAAAAGGAAAAGAAGAAGAAGAAGAGACGTACAATTTCTCACACATAGAGAGAATGAGAAATTGTAGGGAGAATGAGAAATTGTAGGGAATCATTGTTTATTTTGATAATTAATCTTATCAATAATAAAAGATAATCCTAACCTCGCAACTACAATTCATTAAGGCAATAATAGCCTTTGTCCTATTGCATGAGCAATTATTGCCTTGGTGGTAAGGTGGAGTTTCTCTACATATAAAATCTTTTGAACAACAAAATTTATGGCAACATTTTGTCTAACTATTTTCTAGTAAAATAAATAGAAGAGATAATTGGATCAATGGTCCATGAATTTTAGCTCAATTAGAGAATTGGTTCCTGAACCAAAAGTCTTTGAGTATTGGTTCATGAATTTGTTATAATGCAGAATAATGATCATTTTGACTAACTCCGTTGGAACTTCCATCTATTTTTTGCCCATTTAAACTAAGGTTGGGCAAACGGGTCCTAGACCCACGAGTCGAGTCGGGCAATGCCAATTCGGGGCAGGTACAGGGCGGGTACAAATTTCAGAGAAAACAGGCTCCTGGCCCAAACCGTTTCAACCGTTCATTATAGGGAGATCAAATATCCACCGTTGATTTCTAACACATAGGACTTGAATTCTCAAATCCTCCCGACTCCTCTCGTCTCGACCTCAATCTCGATCTCGAATTCCAGAATCCTCCCAACTTCTCTCGGCTCGATCTCAACCTCGATCTTGATTTCTTCGTTTCAGCAACCATTTCTTTCGCACAAGTACTACATGTCGCTGCAGCAATCACCCATATTCTCCATCCCCTATCTTCTGCAGCAATCACCATCACTACTACAAACAAACCTAAACACACCGTTGCAAATCGTAGTGGAGGTGAGCGTGCAGCACGAGAACTAGCAACCGTGCCACCAAACTTCCGTGCCATTTGACTGATCTCTCAGGCGCCATTAAAGCAACCATAATAGCTTGCCCACATGCATCCAGTTCCTGTATTCGCGATCTATTCACTTCTGATGCCATCGCCCAGTTTGCCAATGCCCATGTAGCAAAAGGAACAGCAACATGTTAACATTTCAAATCATCCTAGAGGCCAGGAACAATAGTAGAAGACAAATTACTTTGTGCTAGAGAACTGGCATGCATATTTTGTAGGAGCTTGGAGCCTTTGGATAGGGTGATGTTGATGTGCTTCAGTAATTGGAGAGGAGAGTGGGATACTGAAAATTGATCAATTTCATCACTCCAGTTCTCTGATTTGTCTCCGGCGGCACCCTCTTCCTGTCCTGATTCAATTCGAACTTGAATCTGAAGTCGGTCGAGTGCAAATTCGACTGGGAATCTGGTTCTCGGTCCCCAAAAAAAAAATAAAAAATAAAACAGGGTACCCGTTGGACTCGTACGAACTGGCTTGTTTTATACGGGTCGGGTTAGGTCCGATTCTTAGTTTTAATATAGTAAAATCAGTCCCAGCCAGGCTCATTGTATTTTCAAGCGGATCCGGTTTGGTCCCTTCAATTTTGGGCCCGGCCCGGCCCGTGCCCATCTCTAATTTAAACCTTTCATTTTAAAACCTATTTGTCAATTTTCCCATCGAACTTGTACAGAGATGCTAATTTCTCCCATGAACTTTAACTTTAGTCAATAACCTCCTAAATAAATAGTCAATTTCTCCCTGGTGATAGATTTTGAAATTTTCCATCCATATTAGTCATACAGACATCACATAACAAACTGTATGAAGGCAACAAGGTAATTCTATTTTAGTAAATTGAACGCAAAGCCAATACATTGTAGCTGCTAATTGGACTGTCATGACTAATTCAACCAAAATGTGTACATAATTAGCTAGTGGGGGAGAAGAAGAAGAGAAAACAATTATGTTGTCCACATTAGGATAAAATTACTTTATCGCCCTCATATGTTTGACCAAAATTGATAAAAAAAAAAATGATGAAAAATTAAAAAAATCTAACGCATAGGAAGATTTGACTAATTACAAAAATTCAAGAAATAATCGGCTAAATTTAAAGTTATTGAAAAAAAATTAATATCTCCTTACAAGTTCGGAGGGAAAAATCGACAAATACCTTTTATTTTAAATGAAATTTCTAACATTGTTAATTAAAAAGATCATTACTTCACATTGTGACAAGTTCAAGAACCAAGACTCAAGAATTTTTAGTTCAGGTTCCAATTGGGACATAGTTCAACGAATTGCTCCAATTCTCTTATAAAAATAACGTTTAATCGCGTCTCGGTTCTGAAGAATTTATAATGAGATAAGCATTTCTACAGTTCTAGTAGAAGCAAGCAAATGCATAATTGCTTCCTAGAAAGGCAGTCCCAAGAGATGTGAACAACTAAGTTAAACACGTTCCAAATTATAGCATAAATCACGGATACAGCAATGGAAAACATAGATAATTCGATTCGATTCATTTCGTTTGGCAGAATATGCTGCTTCAAAATTGACACTAGATAGTAAAAGTGAAAACGAGTAATAAAGACTGATAATTTACTCAAGGAACCGGCAGTAACATGGCAAAATCAAACAAACTGGTAGAACTTCATGTCGTCTAACATGACTAGATTAGTAAAATTCTGAATAAAATTCAACAGTACCAAATTGAAAACAAAAGTAGCATCCTGAATAAGATTTCTCCCAAAATTCAGAAGACTAGCATATAGGAAACACGCATGGCAAAATAAACCATAACAGTTGCAAGGTTTACTCGTCCTCCTGGCTGCGCAACCTGGCAAGTTTGTTGGTAACAACAACATCCAACTGGGCTGCACGCTCGACAATCTCCTTCCTCTTCCTGGTGGAAATGTTGTGAGCAATCTCAGCACAGTAAGTCCTGCAGTTACATTAGAGAAACAAAAGGGTTAGCAAATTCTAATTCAAACAAGATAGGTGGAGGTTGTGATCAGTAATTTAAAGGGGCTGTTTCATACCTGTTGTGCATCATTAGAAGTTCAACCTCTTTGACATTGTGCACGACAAATTTCTTGAACTTGTTAGGCAGATAGTGACGAGTCTTCTTGTCTGACCCATAGCCAATGTTGGGCATCAATGCACATCCCTTGAACTTTCGCCTGACACGTGAATCAATACCCTTGGGCCTTCTCCAGCTTTCCTGCCATAAGCAAAGTACATGCATTAAAACAGAACAACTTAATGCTAAGGCTCCAGGAAGCGGAGATGCACAGAGAAGTATGCATCCCCGAGTTACTTAATCAGGTCACAAATGAAAGAATAGCAATGATCACCCTACATGCATCGACCATACAGACACACGGAGACAAGGGTAGAAACATGGATGCTTAACAGACCATACTATCTACCCTAAACAGAGGACAGTAACAATTTCATTGCTGATCAGGAAAAGATGCACCATGAATTCATTGCCTCTCTGCAAGTTATTTTCAATCTTTCTCACATTCTAATTCAATTTTCAGCCATTGAGATATAAAAACCTCAAACTGCAAACAAAACTATGAATCATTCCAACTTCAGGCAACTGCAATGAACACGCCCCATGATTCAAGGTTGTGAAGAGCACTTGACAAATGCTATACCCAACATCATTAAAGCGATACAGAACGGGCATTGTAAAAGCAGTTTGACACCTCCCATTCAAGATTTAAGTTTAAATGTCAACTTTATTCGACCCAAATCACTACAAACAAATACAACTGTAGTAACTAGTTCTTCACACCATTAACTAGCAGATATCACAATTAAGTGAATTAACCCCAATTTACCCATAACTTAATAGGTTATGAATTTATTAATCCCACTCAAATAACCCATTAAAAATTCATATCCAAAACAGAAAATTTCTAATACATTACAGCTGAAATCTCCACATAAATGTAATGATTCAAAAAATTAAATAAATATGAACAGAAATGAAATGAGTCCAGAGATTCATACCTTGACGCAGTGCTTCCTGTCACTCTGAGGCCTCTTGAAGTGCGTCTTGCGCTTCTTCACAATTTGCTTCTTCAGCAAAGGGACGGCCATATTTCCTGTCACTCAAAAAACAACAGCAAAATCACGCGTTCAGTAAAATTAAATTTGGGAAAAAACGCATCTAACCATTGTTGCAGATACTAGGTTAGAAAATCTTGGAATTTTGGAAACGGAGGAAGATCAGAGATCAGGGTTTCGCACCTGACTGAGACGAAGAGCAGTATGGTGCTTTGGAGTCCTGGGAGAGGCACGGATAGAACTAGGGTTTTAAGTGAGGGAATATATATGGAATAGTTGCAATCTGCTGCATCAGGTCCGCACCGTAAGATTATTTTTGTTTTTGGGCTGTTAGAGAAAGCTTAGGCCCACTCAATTTGTTAGCGATGGAATTGGTCCTCAATTGCCTTCGATCAGAGTCCAATCGAAAGCACGTATAAATTTGAGGTTTAGAGTCTATTGACAAATATTTAATTTTTAGTTTGGAGTAGGGAAATTATTTTTAAAAACTATATTTTATAAATCATGTGATGTGGTGGGTGGTTTGGATTCTAACTAAAATTAAAATCTCATATAATGCGTTTTTTTATGCTTTATTTTATGTTGTTTTTTCTCGTTCAAGGGAAACTAAAAACATGTAGGACTCGTCTGGTAGAAAGGATTGGATTGAAAACGATAACTCTCTAAATTCAAGACATATTGATGATAGATGAAAATGATTTTGCATTGTGAGGGAGTTAGAAGAGGATTAGACATAAATAAAATACTCCCATCTAATCCTCTAGAAGATTAACTTTTCTTCTTTAGGGAATAAAGTTGTGACTTTTGAATTACTAGGGGTAAAGTAAGATTAAAATAAAGTTTCATGGGACGTAGCTAAAAATAAGCCTAAAAAATTAATAAGTTTTATGATATACAAATAATTAATCTACTTCAAATAATATTATTATTTAGACATAAAAATGACACGTTTGTGTCTAGACTAGTACATGTGGGATTCATTTGTATTAGAGAATAAATGCGTTAATTTTGTGAGTCTATATAGAATTACTGATACAGAAAAACCTTAAACACCATGAATTGAGGGATTGGAGTCTTTGGACATAAGTGTCTATTTCTGCATAACCTTTTGCCACATCAAATTATTGTTTGCCTGAAAAGGCTGTCTGCATATGGAGCTTAAGTTTCATCTATCTTGCTCTTATGTATCTCTCTTATTTGTGCTTCATTTTTTCCAAACTTTTTGCTTCCAAGTTGTACCAAAACCAAACTGTGAATCCTAATGGTAAGTAAGCCCATAAACTGTTTCTGGTTTTTTGTCTCTATAATTTCTAGTTTTCACTTACAACTTTGTTCTTTGTTTGCAACATAGGCCTTGGAGATCAGTACGGAAAGAGATGGGAATGTTCTCTACGAGCAGAAAGAAAGTGATGATCAGTTTGTTGACTGGAGAGGAAGGGAGGCAAATCCCAAAAAGCATGGAGGAATTAGAGCTGCTGCCCTTACATGTGGTACTTTATCTCAGTCCTATCTAACCCTTAAGTTTAAATTTTTATGAACTACATTAGCAATATATTAGAATGTGAGTATCCAACTCAAAATTAATTGACATTGAGTATATAGATCATTTAAGCACGTACGTCGTTGGGCCTAACAAGTGAATAGCATAGCCAATGACTCATTACTAACCACACTAGTATGGTCTCTTAACTTGCATATTACCACTAGCACAGCAAGGCAGGTGTGAGAGTTTGTTACAAAAAGTCTCAATGTAATTACTAGTGAAACCTAGCTCCTCAATACAAGTCATATTTAGTTTTGTCAATTTTCTGATGTAGGATTCTCGTGTTCTTTAACACATCCAATCCAAGATCTTTTAAGAACTTAATTACGACTTCTATCTTCAATGACTAAGATTTTTAAGGTGGAACCTCAACTTTCACCACAATCTGAGGTGCCCGTCGATTCCACAAAAAATTGATTTGTAACAGTGTAAGAAGTAGTTCTATATGATGAGGAAATTTCTTCATATATTTTTTTTGTTTGCAGTTGTTGGGGTGCTGATCAACATGGTTTTCTTATCCAATGCCATCAACTTCGTTTCATACTTCCGGTTGTCAATGCATTACTCACCTGCTACGTCAGCAAACATGGTGACCAATTTCATGGGAACCTCTTTTTTGCTCTCCATCGTGGGAGGCTTTATTTGTGACTCGCTCTTCACAAGCTTCACAACCTTCATCATATTCTGTGCAATAAACTTAGTGGTATGCTTTTCTTTCAACTATATATATGTTTCATGGCATGTTTTCGTGATTTCATCCAAGTATGTAATACGAAATTGAATGAGCTTTTCGATACCAATTATAGGGAGTAATCTTGCTGGCTATCCAAGCTCAATTCACACATTTACGACCGGCTGTGGATGTGAAGCCTTCTCTGTTTCAAGCAACCATTCTATACATTGGCCTCTACGCATTTGCAGCTGGTATAGCCGGACTCAATGTCGCCTTACCTGCACATGGTGCTGATCAGCTTGATCACAACGATGCCAGGCTCATCTCTGCCTTCTTAAATTGGTTTAACTTTGCCATATGCCTAGGGGGCCTAATAAGCTCAACTGTTATGGTTTGGGTGGAAGATCATATTGGCTGGAATTGGAGCTTTCTGATAACAGTTACGGCCTTGAGTTTTTCGCTTGTCATTTTCGTCACTGGGACTCCATTTTATAGGCACAAACGTCCCACTGCAGGGAACTCGTTAGCACGAATCATCACGGTAAAACTGAAATTAGACAAAATGCTATTGATGACATGGTAATATCAATTATCAAGTAGACTGCTGTCACTGGATTTTAATTTTGTTTTTTTGGGTGCGTGAATTGTGAAAGGTACTTGCTTGTGCAGCTCGAAACTGGAAAGCCTCATCGAACGAAAGAATGGGGAACCAGTATGCAGTATCTCCAATCAATCGGAGCAGAGCGGATGGACAATCCTATGACAAGCTTAAGTAACTTCTTCTCTGTGCCTAATTAAGTTAAGTGATTATTAGTACATAATTATTATTAATCTAAGAAACCCTATGTAATTTCTCAGGTTTCTAGACAAAGCATTAATTGGTAACACAATTAGTGTAGCACATGTTGACGAAACCAGAACTTTTCTTGGCCTTCTTCCCATCTTTGCAAGCACAATCATGATGAATTGCTGCCTAGCCCAAGTTGAGACATTCTCAGTGGTACAAGGGAGCAAAATGAACAGAAAACTACACAACTTCGAAATCCCCACTCAGTCCTTAAACGTACCCCCTCTCTTCATCATGCTTGCTTCGATTCCCTTGTGCGAACGGTTCCAACACAAAAGTCACATGCTCCAACCCCTTTGGAGGATCGGACTGGGGATAGCACTGGCGTCGGGGTCAATGGGTGTAGCTGCCCTAGTCGAAGCTAAGAGGCGCGAGGCGGCTCACAATGATGTCACATTGCCGGTGTTTTGGCTAGGGTGGCAATTCTTCTTGTTAGGAGTTTGCGACGTGCTTACGCTTGGAGGAATGCTCGAGTTCTTTTACTCAGAGGCGCCAAGTACCATGAGGAGCATGTGCGCTGCATTGTCATGGTGCTCAATATCTCTTGGGTACTTTTTAAGCTCAGTTCTGGTGTCCATTGCAAATTCAGTGAGTGGAAAATTTGGTACACAGTGGCTTGGGGGAGACGATTTGAATCATATGCGTTTGGATTTGTTTTACACACTTCTTGGCATTCTTAATACCGTCAATTTTCTTAATTACATGTATTGGGCTAAGAGGTATTGACTTGAGGGATTGGAGAGTTTGTAGGTTGGTACTGTCTAAAAAATAAGAATGTCTGGAGTTCTAGACGTTGCCACTTTATAAGGAAAGGGAGAAACTCTTTATCTTGTCATATAAGGCAATAAGACTTTGTTTGAATCCAAAAGGTTCATTGTTTATAAACGAGAAACTCATATGCTCTCAATAAGACATTAAGACTTTGAATGATAGTTGAAATTTTAGGGATAAGCTTCAATGGGTAGATTTGAGCAAAGTGAAAAAGGATTGAGGGCATCCATCTCTAGTTCATAACCCAACTCGAGTGCTAACTTATAAAATCAAGTCACCGCGTTATTAGACCATCTCCAACCGATCCACCGTGAACAAATTTGAAGGCAAGAAATGAAGTTTTTCTCTTTTCCTACTGATATGCCAAGTCTAGCTGGTTTGACCTACTTCTAGTTGGCTGCCAAAATTGGCGCTCCCATGTAGAAACGTCTTTTTGTTTTATTTAATTCATTTGGTCCTGCATTTCAATATTTAACATGTTGCTATAAAGTTTGCACATTTCACACTTTAATTTTGGGTTCATTTGACTCTAGCAGGAGTTTTAGAATATATCGATATGCCATATCAACCGTTAAAAATGGATTTAACTTTCGAGCCGTAGTGGGGATGGTTGTTAAATGGTAAGCCTCAAAGCCTTTATTTATTTATTTATTTATTTTTAATTTTTTGTAAATATTATTATTAAGGGAAGGATACATTGACTTTCGAGCCTTATTGGAGATGGTTAGGGGTGGGCATAAAAAACGCCAAACCACAAAACCGCGTCGAACCGTATGAAAAAAAAAAACTAAAAAGAATCGTGTTGACCGAAAAAGTCAACTTTGAGTCAAAAACCGAACCAGACCGTTCAACTCGATTCTGAATCTGGTTTTGAATGAACAAGAACCGGACGGAACCAAACCGAACCGTTTTATTAATAATAAATAAATAATATATATATACACACACACATGTTATGGTATAATAAGTTGAAAAATGAGTTTCACAACGTTGCAAAGTAATGGATCCCATCCCATTTAGGGCTTACTCACCTCACCCTCACCTCACGGCCTTACATCCCCATTCCCCCATTTCACACAGCCGACCCCTCATCCTTGTTGACGCTCTCCATTGATTTCTTCGTTAATGGAGAAACGTCCTCACCTTAGAGATAGTTTTTGCGCCAAAATAATTTCCTTGATGAAAATGTATTTTATAACATGCCATTGTTCCATAAGCATGATTAATGTGATCAAGTCTATTAGTTAGACATTGTACATCGTGCTTAGGACTACTTGCAATAATAACATGTTCCACTCACGGAGCAGAAAAAACCTACTATTTAATTTCTATTACTTTTATACTTGAGATTTTTTACATAATTTGGTTTTGCTGCTTATTTGTTCCCACTTAATCAGTTTTACTGTTATATTTGTTCTTTGGTATCTGCCTTCCAACTCAATTTCAATAATTGAGTAAGGGCCAAGGCTACTATCAAATGTTATATTGTCTCCATTTACGCTTAGTATTCGGAATCGTAAATCGGCAAGAACCGAATCGGAACCAGGGTAGACCGAACCGTACGGTTCTAGTAATAAATTTAAGCAGAACCGCACCGAACCGCACCATACCCACCCCTAGAGATGGTTGTTAAGTGGTAAGCCCCAAACCTTTTCTTTTTTATATAAAAATATTATCATTATTAAGGAGTGAGGAAGAGGATTCAAAATTATTATATTAATCTAAGGAAGAATAAATTTCGAACTTGGGATGTATGGATAGAAACCCAACACCCAAATTTTCCCAACCCTTAACTCTTATTTTTCCACAACTTTCAACCGAACACAATCAAAATATAAGAAAATTAGATCTTCTACATGGCATACCTCAATTTATATATCCCACCTCTTAAGTGTAACTATGTTGTGTTATATAAGAAAAAGGTTATATAATGAGTCATTTTGGTTCTAGTCCCTAATCAACCTAATTGTTAGACTGAAACATTATTTGTGAGATCCTACATCGACCAACGGAAATGTGGTGATGTGTCTTATATGTACATACTCTCTTCCCAATAGCACGAGGTCTTTTGGGAACTCACTGGCTTCAGATTCCATCGAAACTCCAAAGTTAAGTGAGTTTGGGCTCCCAAGATGGGTGACCCACTGGGAAGTTGCTCGTGAGTTCCCAGAAACAGAACCATGAGGGAATGGTAAGCCCAAAGCGGATAATATCATGTTACGACAGAGCTGAGACTGAGATATGACATTAATTGTTTAAATATTTTGATCGAGGTTCTTAGCGTAATTTAAAAGATTTAACTCATGCATTTATGCATTTAATGTCCCACAAATTATGAAATTTAAACAAATTCAAATAATATTTTTAAATATAATAAATACTTAAAAATTAATTTTAGAGTAATATTGTTCTTCACAAAAATTATAGCAAAATAATAATAATAATAATAATAATAATAATAATAATAATGTACCCACATAATTATTAACATATTTTAAAAAATAACTATTGATATATTTAGAACATAAAATAAATACATATAATTAGCATGGGTACATTTAGCAAAATTAAAAACAGGTACAAATAAATTAAAAAAATATGGGTACAAATACAAATAAGAGTTTAAAAAATATGGGCACAAAAAGGAATTAATATATGGGTACAAATTGAAACTGAAAAGAAAATTGGTACAAATTAAAAAAAAAAAAAAGTTGCAAATTAAAAATGGGTACAAACTAAAAAGAAAAATATATGATAAAAAAATTTAGCCATGAATATAAATATAACAAATGTAATGTTTCTAATACTATATGAATATATTTAGAAATAAAAAATATTTTATTATTGAAATAATTAATGACGTTTATTAAAATCTAAGGATCTTGTTCAAAATTAAAAGGAATAAGGTTTTAATCAATGAAGTAGGAAAAATAGAGATGGAAACCTAATATTTCCTTATATAATATTTTCAAGCTTCAACATTAAGATTGAGTCAATCAAAATATTCTGTTTTTAAGGGTAGGTCAATGAAAATTAAATTAAAACGAATGATATTGCCCTATTGTGAATATAAAATTATTGATAAATTTATAAACTTTAATTACCATGAATTAATGGTGCTCAATATCAATGGGGGTACTTCATAAAGCTCAGTGACTGGTATATATAGCAAATTCAGTGAGTGGAAAAGTTTGTAAAAGAATGGCTAGGAGGAAATGATGTGATGTGAATCATAGACGTATTGGTATTGTCCAGAAATAAGAGTTTCTAGACCACAGCCATTTAATAAGGAAAGTTATTTCTCTACTAAAAGGAAAGAAACTCTTACCGCCCGTTCGACATGTAGTGCTTTTCCACGCGGTTTTTGTTTTGCAGAAACGAAAAAACGCTTAGGATCTTATGAGTTCAAAAACTCAGCTGCAAAAAAGATCATAGAATTACCCACCTTCTTCCTCACCTCCACAAATAATCCTCCCGTCTACCCATCCAATCTACTCTCTGTGCTAGGTCTTTAAAGAAAAGCTACAACGGTACGAGGGAGAGTTTTACTGTGATAGGTCTTCCATTTGCGTCTCCTTCAAGCTTGTTCAGACGTTGATGATGAGCATCCACTAGAGTTTCTCGATCCAGCATTCTGGCTTGTTGTAGTTGAGTAATTTTTCTACTATTTTGTTTTATCACCATGCATGGCTTCTACTGCTTCTTACATGGACTATTAATCAAATTAAGAATTTTAATTTGAGTTCATCAAATTTACAATTATATATGTAAATTTCCCATACCATGAACTATTAATCATCAGTTTTGTTTTTGGCGCTAGACTGTTAATCACTTTTACATGGCTTATTCCTGATATCCTGTTTAAAATCGATTTAATATATATATATATATATATATGTATGTATGTATGTATGTATGTATATGTATATGTATGTATAAGATGGTGATGAAATTCTACTGCAAACTCCTTAATTAAATTGAAAAGAATAATGTGTCACATATTACTTCTAGGGAAAATTTGAAATAGGTCCAATTTTATAGACTACTTTTTGAAATAGGTTTAATTTTTAGTGACTTTTGACTTTTGAAATAGGTCTAATTTTTAGTTATTTTGAACCCATTTGAAAAAACCCCTACTTCTAAACATATTTATTGTTGTGAATCCTTTTATTTTTATTTCAGTGCCAAACATGTACTTGTTACTAGAGAACTGTTCAAGAATTATACCGCCAAATGTATTCTCATCATATCTTAAAACCAAAAAATCGTTATATTGTACTTAGGGTAATGTTAGAGAAATTAAATTTTGTAAACTAAATGACATGGAAGTTTATGATTAGATTATTACTTAAGTGTTGATTAACGTGCTTAGTTCTTATTGCAAAACATCGTTTAGTTTACAAATTTAGTCTTCCTAACATTACTTATTGTACTTATCTTTAAAAAAAGTTTCAAAAAACAAAAATAATTTACGCATTTGTTTTCTCTCTATGCATGCCATTGTTTACATATTTTATTACAAGAGGTATTCTACACAAATTTACACTAAGGGAGAGCGTAGAGTTTAAACCTGGGACGCAGTGGTTGAAGAGGAAGACCCTAGCCACCAAGGCAATCCACCACTTACCACTACTATGTATTTTTATTTTTTTGGATGCTCTTTTGATTTATTCAATTCAAAAGCTTGGAAGAAAAAAAAAACCATAGGTGTATGTGTACACGTGATAAAAAAAAAAAGATCTATTAGTATTGTAAAAACGTTAAAAGACTAGTAGTATTGTCTCAAATAAGATAATAAGATTTGTATCAGAGTTGATTCAAAGTCAATGTAAGTCAATGGTTTGCATTTATGTAAGGAAAGCTTACAGGAAAAAGGGTTCATTGTACATGATTTCAAACGATACATGATTATTCCAACTCTGTAGCATTACACTAAATTAAATCATTTTAAATAAATTATAGTCTTATATAAAAATGAAAAAACACATTCTTTTGAATTTCTCCATTAAAATTGCCACAAAAAGTAAGAACACATTCTTTTTGAATTTCTCCATTAAAATTGCCATTAAAATTGTCAACTGTAACAAAAAGTACCCCAAAAACTCATCAATCTTCATTGTAAATGGCCTAGCTCTTTACTGATTAAACCTTTGAAATTCAAGGTGCCATGCAAACCAATGGGCAGGCATTGAATGCAGGATTCTCAGGAATCCGGTTCACTCTAACCGCCTTTGACAAAGCTTTAATTAATTTCCATGCAATGTGACATTATTCATGCAGGATTTGGACACAAGTGTCTGCATAGCCTTTAGCCTCATCCCCACAAATGCAAATCAATTTAATTTTTCCCCAAACCTCTGTACAGCCTTATCAGTTCTTCTTCTCATCTATCTGTCCCCAAACTTTTCTTGTTTTGGTATAATTTTTCCTAATACTGGTAAGTTCATGAATCCAGAATATTCCCTGTAATTTATGGTACAGATCATGGTGGCCTAACACAACCCAAATTATATGCAACTCAACTCTTCCCTTCTGCAGAAAAGTTTTTATTTCCTTATTAATTTATATATTTTCTGGCTGCTTCTTGATTTTCTTCTTCAACTGCAAAAACTTCACTTACAATTGTATATTTGTTAAAACCTATAGGGCACAAAGATGAGTATAGAAAGAGATGTCTTTCAGAAAGAAAGTGATGATGACCGATATTTTGACTGGAAAGGAAGAGAGGCAGATCCTCGAAAGCACGGTGGAACCAGAGCTGCTGCCTTTGCATGTGGTATGTTGCAACTGCAGGGATATTTATTTTTTTTATTCGAGCGTGTTTTAATTTAACTGGAAATAAATTATTGTTAGAGGATTCGAACTTGGTGTACAGAGGTAGCATCGATCTTAGTTTAATTATCATAAGATGAGGTTCAAGATGGGGATCTAGAAAAAACCCTTAATAACTTGGAGTGATTTGATATCTTTTTTGCGTCCAATTTTTTGTTTCTGAAACGAATGAATATTAAGTAATTTAATTACATTCATTATTTTTTTAAACAAAAAATGGGATCCAAGAAGGATACCAACAAGCCCTTAGGATCTAGCAAAAGTTTGATATGGGCAAATGTTGTATTATACTGGAATAATTTTGGGAATGAATTTTTTTGTGTGCGCAGTTGTGGAGGTGTTGACAAACATGGTGTTTTTAGCCAATGCCAGTAACTTTGTGAGATACTTCTTGTTGTCAATGCATTACCCACATGCTACAGCAGCAAATATGGTGACGAATTTTATTGGAACCTCCTTTTTGCTCTCCATACTGGGAGGATTTATCAGTGACTCACTCTTCACAAGATTCACAACCTTAATCATCTCCTCTATCATAGAGTTGCTGGTATGATTTGTTCCCCCCTTTTTGGGAAAATTTTAGCATAACCCTGAATTAGAAACTTTTCATTTTTCAATCTGCACTTTTGGATGTTAATTTAGTTACGAGCCCGTAATTTTCTGAATTGTATAGTAATTTGTCCCTGTTGTCAAATCTATCAAAAAGAAGTTTAAATTTGGAGTTACTTTCATCTACTTGATGGGATAAACTAATAGAAAATGTGATGCACGTGACGGTTCAAGCAAAATAGACACGCTTTAGAAGTTTTAAAGGAGGCTCATAACCAAATTGAAAGTGATTGAGAACCTATATATTTTCATATAAGTATGTGACAGGAAATGGAACAAAAAATTTGTATCATGTAGGGATTAATTTTGCTGAGAATCCAAGCTCAGCACGCAAAATTTCGACCAGCATCGGGTGCTACGCCTTCTCGGTCTCAAGCAGCCATTCTATACACTGGCCTTTATGTCGTTGCTACCGGTGTCGGTGGAATCAATGCGTCCTTACCTGCACACGGTGCTGATCAGCTTGATCACTGCAATCAGAGACTCATCTCTACCTACTTCAATTGGTTTTTCTTTTCCCTGTGCCTTGGGGGCCTCCTAAGCTGTACTGTTATGGTTTGGGTGGAAGAGAACAAGGGCTGGAATTCGAGCTTTACTATTACAAGTATAGCCTTGAGTTTGGCACTTTCAATTTTCATCAGTGGGAGTCCATTTTATCGACACAAACATCCTGGGGGAAGCGCATTGACAAGAATCTTTAAGGTAAATGTAAATTTAGAAAAGATGCAGTGTTTTATTAGCATTCCAAAATAATCATCATGCACTACTTTTTAAGACTGCAAAGTGGCTATATATAGCATGCGCTAGTAACAACTCTCAAAAAATACTATCGAATAGAATGTTGTATTTGGAATTTATTAAATTTTTTTTTTTTGGTGTCAAAGGTTCTTGCTTCTGCAGTTCGAAACTGGAAGGCCTCACCCGAAGAGAGAGTATTGGAGAACCAGTATGCAGTATCTGCAATCAATTCGAACGGAGTTAATGTGCGATCCCATAACAAGTATAAGTAAGTTCTTTTCCTCTCTTCCAGTTCTTTCTTAATTGGGTGATTAGTGCATATGCATAGTAATATAGGACATTTATGATTCTTTCAATTTAGAGTGGGATTAATTTATAGTGCACACTTGTGGGGCATGCTAAACAAGTTCTGGCCTACCATATGAGATCACTCAAATTTTGAGTGGGACGAATAGAGCAATTTAAACTCTGTACACAATTCTTTTCATGTAGTTTTGGTCTAACAAACACTATACTTTATCAGGTTCTTAGACAAAGCATTAATTGATAGCACAGTCAGTGCAGCTCAAGTTAAGGAAACAAAAACTTTTATAGGCCTTCTACCCATCTTTGCAAGCACAATCATGATGAATTGCTGCCTAGCCCAACTTCAGACATACTCAGTGGTACAAGGGAGCACAATGAACCGAAAACTACACAATTTCGAAATCCCAGTTCAGTCATTAACCGTACTCCCCCTCTCCGTTATGCTTGCTTCCATTCCCTTATACGAACGATTCCGAAGAATCTTAGGAGACAAAAACTCAGCAAAAAGTCACATCTTCCAACCACTTTGGAGGATTGGAGTAGGGCTAGCACTAGCATCTGTATCAATGGCTGTAGCTGCCATAGTTGAATCTCAGAGACGTAAGGTGGCTCATAAAAATGTCACATTGTCTTTCTTCTGGCTTGGCTGGCAATACCTCTTCCTTGGAGTCTCAGACATGCTCACTCTTGGAGGAATGCTCGAGTTCTTTTACTCGGAAGCGCCCGATAGCATGAGAAGCATGTCTACTTCATTGTCATGGTGCTCAACATCAATGGGTTACTTTTTGAGCTCAGTTCTGGTGTCCATAGCAAATTCATTGAGTGGAAGATTCGGTAAAGAGTGGCTTGGAGGAGCTGATGTGAATCATTCACGTTTGGATCTGTTTTACACACTTCTCTGCATTCTCAACACTCTCAATGTTCTTAATTACCTATACTGGGCTAGGAAGTATTAGAAGAACGCCGCTCTTCCTTACCTACAGCTGCAAATCATATACTGGCACATATGCATAAATAACTTATTGCAAGCATTTAAAACAGAAAAAGCTTCTTGTACGTGTCAAACTATGACACTATGCAGTGAGGGATGATATTTACTATTTACATATAAGCAGGAAAATATATATTTCTCGCTGTAGTATATTGTTGTAACAAATTTCAATTAACCAATAATACCGTAATAATCCATCACATTATTAACTTTATTAATACTGTATGAAGCCACAGTTCAATGGGCCTCCACCACTCTCTTCATGATGTAACTTTTATTTCTGGGGTCACGATGTTTCAGTTTGGTATACAGCAGGCTTGTGTCGAAATATGTTTAGGGGTGATTGTGTCAATATAAGTCGTAATCAAAGTGGCTGTTGGGTATGTTGAAGAGAAATGAAGGTGATGTGGTTGCTAAGTATTAAACATCATAATCACGGAAAATGTGTCAAGACTTTTATATGCTGTCTTCTTGCTCTATCTGTTGTCCTCATGAACTTTGATCCTGTTTTAGTTGTCAACCCTCTAGGATCATGGCATTAATTCGTATGTTGTATTGTTTGCTAGAGTGATTCATATTATACTGCATTGCAAGGGCTCCGTGAGTCCAAATTTTTTTAATAATGCACATAATCAGGGACGAAGCTAGAAATTTCTTTTAGAGGGGGCAACCCAAAAATCAATTAAGAAAACCTTATTATAGTATGACTTATAACCAATATGAAAATAGGGATGATTTCAAATGATAATGTATCACAATTCCAATGTTACAAAAATTTCAGTGTAGTAGTGGAAAGTGGCAAAGTGATAAGAAAAATGTTAATACATAATTACGCAAGAATGAGGTTTTTCAATTTGAATGACAGAACAAGAGCACTTTTGCTCATATAATATTTGATATGGAGTATACGCAGTATGAAACTATGTTGGATACTAGGTACATATATTTTCTTCAAAAATAATGTGTGTGTATTATATAATTGTAATCTGCGACTTAATAAGCAAATCACTTGAGTGGGGGCATATGCCCCCAGTGAGCCTTCATTGGCTCCGTCCTTGCACATAATCATTTAGTCTAGTGACACTCAGTTTACTTAAGAAGTTACGAGTTTAAATCTCACATCAGATTATCAAATTACATACTCAAAAATTAATCTTCCTACTATATGAATTAAATTTATAGATCCAATATAAAATGTCAAGATTATCTCATCCAATGTTGGATTCCAAATGATCAGAAAGGAAGTGGATCATACATCACTTCAATTATACTACAAAGATCTTCAAGACTTTGAAAGCTCTCTTTTCCAAGATGCATTAACATCAAATACAAGAATTCTAGTCAAAGTTTTCAATTGTCAACTAGACCTATTCACTGAATCTTGTGATTTACAAGACATTTTTCCTAATTTTCTGAACTGAAGAAATTATATAATGTTTTAGCTTTTGCATCATCACGCAAACTATTTGAATCGACATAGTGGGAGCATTTAACGGCTAAACAATTCATAATCTAATCTGTTTTGGCTTGTCCTGCCCTTAAAAAATTAAAAGAGAAGTTTCTTGGCCTGCCGTGCATGTGAGGGTTAATAATATCGTTTGGACCATAACATACAATTTCTCTACATTAAAATTTTAATTTTTTTAATCCCTCTACATTAAATTTTTTTTATAAACAATTTGAAGAGAGGAAGATAGTTTTTGAATGAAACAGAAAGAAGACATAAAAGCGGAAAAAAAAAATAATTGAAAATGCAAAAATCAAGTTCAAAAACATTGGGAGAATATTAAAAAGGTTAGGAGACTCCTAACAACTCATCTGTGGTTCGACCAGTAAATTGCATAGTCAGGTAGACTTATACCATTACGCTCAACAGCATAATCTTAACTTGAGCACGTAGTTTAAGAGTACTTTAGGAATACATGTATCAAATTTGGCTAAAAAATTTGAGGCGTCATATTTTCTAATAACCTTATCGAATTGTGATATTTGGAATGGGGTAAGGTATTAGTAAATTCAACACCAATATATTGGAATAATATAGAAAGTATTCCAAATATAACACTCGTTTGAGATAAATGATTCCTCTCACTTGCAAAAACAATTGAAAGAAGAAAAAAAACATGGAAGCATTGCACATGAATGACATTCATTGGAATATCCGTATGTATCACATTTTCAACAAATTAAAGAACGAAGAGGCAAAAGCATTTCTCACACAAGTAAGAGTATGAGAAAGCTTTCTAAAAAAATTAAACTTGGGACATATCATATTTATTTGCCACAACTTTGTTCCTCCCGTTCCATTCTTTAGGAGTTGGGATTGTGACAACCGAAAACCGCAATTGATATGTGTGGTAGTAAAATTTCACCTCTTTCAATCTTGACGAAATTGTACTTACACAACAAATAAACACTTTTAATAAAGACAACCTCACACGCTCATGAGGTTGAGGGGTTTGAAGAGAGCGAGTTTAGGGCTTAAGTGCATAGTAAAATCTTACCAAAATTGGTGGAGATGGGTATTTATAGTAGCTAGGCTGCGACCACATGTAGGTTTGCCACGTGTCGGCATTTGATTGCCCAAGACGAGTTATCGATGGATGAGGAAGGAATAATCCCGAAGATTTTTTTTTTTTAATAAACGATATTATCTACACTAAAGGAAAGGAGGTGAGTTTAGACTCGCAATGGGCTACAATAATGTGGTTCAAATTCGCTTTGGGCGAGAATCGAACCTAAAATCTCTCACTTATAAGTAAAGAGGAATACCGCTAGACCATAATACTAAGTAACCCCAAAGATATATTTATCTTGGGTTTTAGTAATAATCATATTTTTAATACCTTTGACTTTTCTCCTAACAGTGCTTGATGAGATTGTAGTTAACTGTTGAATCTTCAATAGAGTTGAACTGCACGTGAAACGAATCTGGGATTCGCCAATTTAATGAGGGCATTTTGTCAGTTGAGAGTAAAAATTCACTTGTCAACTCTAAAAAATTTTGTATTATCTTTGACTCCATAATATGTTTGTGGCCAATGTAGAATTCACAAAGGGAAAGGAATCAACGTCCAATTCCATGTCTTCTATTTTATTTTCATGGATGTAAGTCGTCTCCAACACAAAGTGGAAACAAAGCGAGAAAACAAATAAAAGTCGATCAATTCCCAAATGCACCAATCCCCATTCACCAACCCAAAAGAAAAAGAGTACAATGTATATAACTCACATTCACGGCTCCATTGTTTTAATCTGACGGTACTCTTTCCATGGTCCAAGTAGTCCACATGCTCCTCCTATTTTCTTTTCCATTTTTAATTTTTAATCATCATTTAGTTCGCATTACCCATTTTGCCTCCTTGCAAGAGTGGAAAATGTTCTCAGAGACCATACTAATTACATATAATTATCTTCCATTTATTTATTATTTTGTGATCAATAACGTATCTGAAGATAATTATATATCCAACTACACTTGAAAGATATTATTTTGAACTAGTATCTCCCACTCCATAGTGTGTGCATATCCGCGATGTCAGCATGTCACGTGATACATCGGATACACATCTAACAATCATTTTCCAATATAAATTCCCCCACAAGCTTTAGTTTCAGCAGAACACACACGCTCTCTCTCCCCCTATCTATCTCCCTTTTTCTTTCCACAAGGTCCTCATCTCCCCACTCCTCCAATGGCTTCCTCTCTCCCTCTCTCTCTCCTCCAAATTGCATGCATTTCCCTCCTATGTGCTCTGCTAATCTCACCCGCCGCACAAGCAGCCACCTGCACCTCACAGACATTCAAAAACAACAAGCTCTACTCCAACTGCACAGACCTCCCCGTTCTCAGTTCCTACCTCCACTGGACGTACGACCCCTCCAACTCCTCCCTCTCCGTTGTCTTCGTCGCCGCCGCCCCCAAGCCCGATGGCTGGGTCGCCTGGGCCATCAACCCCACGTCCGAAAAAATGGCCGGGGCCCAGACCCTACTGGCCCACAAAACAACCGACGGTACCCCAACTGTCAAAACCTACAACATCAGCACCTACACCTCCATCGTCCCCGGAAAGCTCTCGTTCGACGTCTGGGACGTCAGCGCCGAGTTCTCCAACGGTACGTACAAGATATTCGCCACCGTCAAGGTCCCCAAAAACGCGGAGTCCGTCAACCAGGTCTGGCAGGTGGGTCCCGGCGTCGACAAAACCACTGGTTTCCCACAAAAGCATGAGTTCGTCGGCTCTAATCTCGTGTCCTTTGGCACTTTGCACTTGGTTGCTAATGCCACTACTGGCACCACTAACTCCACTACCGGCACTACCAACTCCACAACGGGCGGTGCCTCCACGACTAACACCACTGGTGGCAGTGGTAGTGGTGGGGCTTTGAGGATTGGGAGTGGAGGAAACATGGGTTTGTTTTCCATTTCGCTTTTGGTTCTTGGAGCTCTCATTGTTTTCTAAAATTTGGTAATTTTGGGTTTACTTTTTCGTTCTGAATATTAATGTGATTGAAATCATTGATGTTGATCAATCGAAGTGGAGATGGAGGTTAATTTGAGCATTTTTTTAGGTGGAAGAATATCTTATTGTTATACATGATATTGTGAAATCCCACATTGATTTAATTATTTGCTCCTTATCTGTATTTTTCTTGGATCGATGAGAGAAGGTCATTAATAAACATCGGTGGTATGTGAGGACGTAGAGAGGTGCTGTTCGATTTAGTTTATCTATACTGTTATTTTAGTTTATCCATTTGGGTTTTTCCATATTTTAAAGATGAGAAACCCTAAGACTCTTCCAAGAAGAGATTTTCGATAACGTTAAATTGTGAGGTGGTCGAGAGAATCGTCTTCACAATTCTCTTTCAAGATTGTCTAGTTGAGCAATTTTAGTGTGTCCTACTAGCTTGACTTCTTTTGAATAAATAAGACAATGATAAGGATAATGCTAAAGAGATTAAATTTAAAGATAAAATTTTAAAAACTAAATAATATGAAAATTGATAATTAATTTATTAAACTATTCATTCTTATTAGTGACACATCTTTAATTTTTAAAATTTTATCGTCCTAATAATAATTAGCAAATGAAAAAGGTCATTCAAAGTGAACGTTGTGTCAGTTCAAACACAAGTAACTTTTATTATATTATTATAAGACTGAAGTAACTTTTATGATATTATAAAATAGAAATAAATAATTAGAACGAGATAATCACATGAGAAGTGAGAAAGGAACATGGCCAAATATCACATGTTCGATGCAAGGTTCGCATATCACAGTCACAATGTGAAGATCCTAAGGTATATATACATTGAATAATACTTATTTTCTTTAGTTAATCAGTTGAGGAATAAGAATCAGTAAATAAAGATAGCTAGAACTAGCTAGATATTTGTGTGAGGAGTGAGAAACGAATATAACCAATTATCATATGAGGAATAAGAATCAGTAAATAAAGATAGCTAGAACTAGCTAGATATTTGTGTGAGGAGTGAGAAACGAATATAACCAATTATCATATGGCTGATGCTAAGTTTATAAATCATGGGGTTTTTATCACAAATAGTCTATGAGATTGACTAAACTCATCATTTTGGTCCCTCACTTTTAAAATCAATTAATGTCATCTTTGAAATTCACTACCACACATCAATTTGGTCATTCTGTTTAGATTTCGTTAATTATTCTGTTAGTTTGTATGTGAGACCCACAAATCTAATAAAATGGTGACGCGTGGATTATACAAAAGAAAGGCTTTGATCGCAAATGATCCCTGACATTAATCAAACTCCTCATTCTGGTTCTTGAGTTTCAAAAATCAATAAATTTAGTCCCTAACTTTCACTATCGCACATCAATAGAGTCCTTCCATTAAAACTTTGTCTTTGTTAGTGTGCTAATGTTGTCCCACTAATCCAACCATATGGTGCCAAGTGAATTAACTATAAGAAACTAATTTTCATTTTTAGAGTGAACTAATTGTCGAATATTCTGCGCTGACATTTCTCTTGCATCTCACAATCTCGATTGGAAAAGAAAATTCAATCTAAATTCGATAAAATCGAATCCAAATTCAATTCAACTTTGATAGGATTATAACCAACTAGAGAGAATGAGAAGTGAGTTCACGGAGAACAGGAGCTTTGGTGTCATGGTGTCTTCCTTTTCTTTTTGAGCATACCTAGATGAAGATGATGATGTCTTTTTTTTTTTTTAGTTTATAATTTCTTATAGTACTTTTAGTTTTAAATCTTAAAAAAAAAAAATTTTTATAGTTAATCTATGTGGCTCCATATGATTGGACCACTGGAACCATATTATCACACTAACAAAAAAATATTGACGAAATTTTAATGACTAAATTGATGTGCGGTAGTGAAAGTCAGGGACCAAATTTATTAATTTTTGAAATTAGGGACCAAAATGAGGAGTTTGATTAATGTCAAGGGCCATTTGTGATAAAAACTCTTCTTTTATGTGATTCACGTGTCACCATTTTATTGGATTTATGGATCCCATATGCAAACTAACATAAATAATTGATGGAATCTAAACGGAATGACCAAATTGATGTGCGGTGGTGAATATACAGGACAACATTGATTGATTTTGAAAGTAAATGATCAAAATGATGAGTTTGGTCAATCTTAAGAATTATGGGTGATAAAAACCCTAAATCATGCAAATAGTCGCAAGGGTAATGTGGGGATGCTAGGATTCAAACTCTTCCTATGCCAACTTAATGTAAATTAGTATAGAACAATGTTTGTAATAAAATAGTTAAAAATTATGGGTCATAAATAAATAAATAAAAATTCTTATTAGTGCTTAAAAATTCTTATTAGTACTTAAAAATTCTTATTGTACATAAAAAATATACTTGTAAATAATACAAAATTAAAATTTTAAACAGTCAAAAAACAGTTGTCAAATAAATAAATAAAAATTTGTCCGGGTAAGTCCAATAGTCCCACTGCCTTTACTTTCGTGTCCCCCACGTATCACATCCAATTTAACGTATCAATAAAATGAGCATCCTCTAGTTGGAAGTTGGCTAGCTACTACCAGTAGTTCTTGGCCCCTTTTGCATAAACAATTGGAACGCACCAAAACGACATTTTATTTTCTCTTTTTCTTTAAAGAAAGGAGTGTCCACTAATACAGGAAGTAATTCACTCAAGGTATTTAAACTATATATTAATAGAACTTTATTTGTCAGTTAAAAACTAAAAAATTACTATTATTACATAAATAAAAGGGTAAATTACACTTTCATACCTCAGGTTTGGGGTCTATTTCAATTTCTTACAATATCTTCAAAACATTTCACTTTCATACCTTAAGTACTATTTTATTTCAAAATAATACATCCGTTACATTTTTCATTCATTGATCTGTTAAATGCTGACGTGACTACCACATATATGCCACGTGGCTGCCAAATGTCTGTCACGTGACATAAAAAAAAAAATTTAAAACCTGAATTTTTACAAAAAAAATAAAATAAAAAATAAATTGAAACCCACAATCCCTCCCCCCCCCCCCCCAGCGACCCACAATAAAGAGGGAGGAAGAAAGAAAAAAAAATTGAAACTATCCCTCCCCCCCCCCCCCCCCAAGTGACCCACATATGCAAGAAGAAGAAGAAGACAATCTCCAAGAAGAAGAAGAAGAAGAAGAAGAAGAAGAGGGAGGAAGAAAGAAAGAAAGAAAAAATTGAAACTATCTCCCCCCCCCCCCCAGTGACCCACGTATACAAGAAGAGGAGGAAAAAGAAGAAGAACCCAAGCCCAGAACCCTTCCCCCCCCACCTCGACCCAGCTCTCTTCCCCCCTGGGGACCCTTCTCCCTTCCCCGTAACCCTCCTCCCGCCCCCCTACTCGGCGACCCTTCTCCCATCCCCCCCCCCCCCCCCCCCGACCACCCTTTTCCGCAATCTGGTGATTTTCAGCGTTGGTGAGTTTTGAAAATACTTTGAGTTTGAGATGATTTTTGGGCTGGTTTTGTGGTAGATCCACCTAATCTCGGGTGGGATTTTTGGGGGTGGGTGATGGGGGATTTTTGGGAGGGGTGGCTTGAGTGGGATTTTGGGGTTTTTTTTTCTTTCTTCCTCCCTCTTCTTGTTCTTGTTCTTGCAGATGTGGGTCGCTGGGGGGGGGGAGGAGGGATTGTGGGTTTTAATTATTATTATTATTTTTTTTTTTTGAGAAAATTCAGGTTTAAAAAAAAATTAAAAAATATTTTATTTGCCACGTGGCAGACATTTAGCAACCACCTCAGCATTTAACGGATCAATTGATGGAAAATGTAACGGAGGTATTATTTTGAAATAAAATAGTAGTTAAGGTATGAAAATGAAATCTTTTAAAGATGTTGTAATGAATTGAAATAGACCCCAAACCTGAGATATGAAAATGTAATTTACCCTAAATAAAACTATATTAAAAAAGAAACAAAAAGTGTTAAAGTAATTTCGCACAAACAAGTTTTTGTTGTTTTTTTTTTTCTTTCCCTCACCCATATGGAACCATAATTTTGCTTTTCTACTTTCTCTCTCCCACTTATGATGTAGAACAAACGACACAATGGATCGAAGATGGAATAGACAGTTGGAAGGCAAAAGGACCTAGTGGAAATTTGCAAATTTGGCGTTCAAGTTTCAATTTGGGCACGTGATACATTTTCAAAAAGGAATGATGTCATGAGTCAAACACATTGCCTCGCTTTGTTATACGATGAATTTCGGCCATCTAGGTCGTTTCAGCCTCCAACTTAATTTTTTTTAAAATCATTTATAACTTTTAGACTTTTGATCAGACATTCACTTATGAATTTTTAATTAAAAAAAGAAGAATCTTTCATTATATTTGATTTTTGTATTAGTTCACAAGTTAATATCATAAGAAAACTCTTAAGATCTAGTAGATACTAGGAAAGTAAAGCCCGCGCGATGCTGCGGGTTTAAAAATTGCTAAAAAAATGTTTAGAAGATGTAAACACCATGTTATAGAAGAATGTGAAAAGTTGTTTAAAGGAGGTATCCTAGGCAAGGGAAAAGAAAAAGATTGAAATACATGAAACAAAATTGTATCACAATAAAATTATATTATAAACAAAATAAGGATTAGATTCTGTTTATGTCACATCCCGGCTCGAGGTCCACCACATCCCAGGCCCGCTCCACCATCGTAGCACGATATTGTTCGCTTTGGGCCCCGACCACGCCCTCACGGTTTTATTTCTGGTAACTCACACGAGAACATCCCAGTGGGTCACCCATCATGGGATTATTCTCGCGCGTTACTCGCTTAACTTCGGAGTTCCGATGAACTCTGAAGCCAGTGAGTTCCCGAAAGGCCTCGTGCTAGGTAGAGATGAGAATTAACATATAAGAATCACTCCCCTGGGCGATGTGGGATCTTACAATCCACCCCCCTCAAGGGCCTGACGTCCTCGTCGGCACACCACGGCCAGGGTTAGGCTCTGATACCAAACTGACACACCCCGACCCAAAAAGTCCACTAGGAATCTGAATCGAGCTGTGTTGGCCAACACCTGGAAAGTGACGAAGCCATAATGTGTGATGATGTGGAAAAAATGTGAATAAATTTAAACCTAAGAGT